CCTCTTGTTCTGTGGCTTTATTTTATTTAATAAGAGAACTCAATTTAGTTGCAGGCAGTTTTTTTTAAATCAAATTTCTCTTTTTAACTTAAGAAAGGACTTAATTGTAGCTAATTTTATTTAAGCAACCAAAGCAAGGACCTTGGCCTGTGGTGTGAGATGGCCGATTCAATTGTGACTTCCATTCCTAGCTTAGAATGCCGTTGATTCAAGGTGTCCCTTTTGTGTATCACGAGACTATGATGCATGGCGTGCCTTAGCTAGGGTTACTATTGCTCTGACAGAAGTCAGGACCAAAAGAAACCTGGGGAGGATAGGCTCACACTTCTGCAGTGCAGTCTATCACTGAAGGAAGTCAGCTTTGCTTTCTGAAACGAAGAGGAAAGAGACTGCCCTCAGTTGTTTCCATCAGCTATTGTGCCATAGCGGCAAAAATCCAACAAACACAACGTGCTGACTAGTTTTGTGTCAACCCGACCCATGCTAGAGCCCTCACTAGTGGGTTTAGTGGCCCTGGAAAGAGAGTTACCTAGGGTTAGAGAACAGGAGAGAAGACAAGGATCCTGGTGACATATGTGTATTTGCCTCCTGCTACGGTGTTCCAGAACGCTTGATGCGTATCATCATCTCATTTCCTTGGCAAAAGACTGAAGAGTGTGGCAAAGTATCTGGATAATACTAGTGATCTGCTAATTCCCGCTTCCCTGAGAACAACTGCGAGTGTCTAGTTAGAAAGTGGAGTCACAACAGTGATTTAGTCTCAGGTCCTGCAAGCTTCCCTTGTCCCCCAGAATCATTGGTCTGTGTGGCCACCAGCTCCTTGTAAGGGTTTTAGCGGCTGAGATAGCCTCTCACAGTTCATCAGGAGCCTCTAAGTGACCCTCTGAGTCAACTGAATTTGGTAGTCATGCACACTGATAGGTCTGTATTTTGCATGGGTGAAATGTTGGTGGCAGAGCTGATCACTCAGGACGGTGGCTGCGATGAGTTGATGCTAACACATTCTGGGGGGATAAATTCCAAGTTGGGACACCGAATGGCTCCAGTGTCGCCGCAAATAATTCCTTGAACTGCTATTGTCATCATGTGGTTTTTAGAGTCTCCTTCTCTATGAGCTCATAAGACCAGAGATAAGGAAGACTGACCGGACATTCTAAGCTTTTGCTGGAAGTTAGTAGTGGCCACAGGACTATGTCCCTTGATGCAACTACATTTCAGAGTATGCTTTTGTAAAATTTCAGTAGGGTTATCTATCTGTCAGTCAGCGGAGATGCCTATTACTCCCTAGCTTCAAATAATGACAATAGTGAGACTGATGGTGCTGATGCTACTGATGGTTGTGATGGTGCAAATGGTGCTGATGATGGTGGTGATGGTGCTGGCGGTGCTGATGGTGCTGGCGGTGCTGATGGTGCTGATGATAGTGGTGATGGCACTGGTGGTTCTGATGGTGCTGATGTTGATGATGCTGATGACAGTGCATATAGTGGTGCTGATGGTGCCAATAGTGCCTATGGTGGTGATGCTGATGATGTTGATGATGGTGACTGACTTGGAATTCTTGATCCTCCTGCCTCCTGAGTGCTGAGAATACAGGTGTGTCCTAGTATATCCACCAATCAGAATCATTTTAAAACATAGTATTAAGTACTAGGAAGAAAGTAGTACTTTATGTAGATGAGGGAACCAAACTGAACATTGCCTACAGAGTCTGTTTTTTTCAAGGTCTCCAGTGGGGATGCAGGTGACTTCTACAGTAGGTTGTAGATCATTTAGGAACCTTAAAAACCAGGGCATCAATGTTGCTTGTTGGGCTCCAGCTAGTTGTTGGGTTGGTTGGTTGATGGCAACCTCAGTTGGTTTCTCTTGGAAAAGTCTGGTGTGCCTGTAAAGCTTATTTAGGGCTCACTAGAAACCTGAACTGTTTTGAAAAACTTTTAGAGGTCTCTTGATCATCTTCAAAGGAACTAGGAAGGACTGAGATTTTCAGGGTAAATCTCAAATGACTTGCATCTTTGAGAGATTATTCAAAATAAAAGACCATGCCCTCCGATATCAGAGCTGCCATGCGTGAAGACGAGTGCAACTTTCAAGGGTTTCTTAGGAGTTGCTCATAGAAACTCCATATTATGTTGCCCAAGTCAGATGATACAAGCATACCAGTGGTTACAGCAATGGTCACAAGTCTTTCTTAACATAGTCACAGATTCCTTTGACCTCCACACACAGTCGCTTGGTTAGTGGTGATGGCAGAGAGATGTTCTAGAAGGAAGTAAATACAAGCAGGTCATCAAGTATTGTTTGAATGTGCAATGTTTCCTACAGGCTCAGGACTTGGTCCCAGGCAGAGTGATGTTTGGACCCCTTAGAAGATGAGTCATGGCTTGTGTTATATTCTGGCTCTGATTCCCATTCCCTCTGCTTTCAGAAACTGAAAGTACAGTATGCCCCTGACAGCCTCTCCAGTCGCCATATTCTCCGTCTGCTACCATGCCTTCATCACCATAATAGAATGATCTCTTTGGGTTACAGCTATAACAAACTATCCCTTTCTTAAATAGCTACTATCAAGAGTCTGGTTGTAGCAACAGAAAGCTAATTAGTATACCTCAATTACTGTGATATTGATTTTAAAATTTACTGTTAATTTTGGTTGTCAGCTTGACAGGGTCTAGTCTAGAATCACCTAGGAGTCAGGCCTGTAGTCACAGCTGTGAGGGAGTCAGTCATACCTGTGAGGGAGTCAGTCATACCTGTGAGAGAGTCAGTCACACCTGTGAGGAAGTCAGTCACACCTGTGAGGGAGTCAGTCACACCTGTGAGGGGATCACACCTGTGAGGGAATCACACCTCTTGGTTAGGTTAAGTGAGGTAGGAATACTCGCCCTAAAGGAAGGTGGGGCAGACCACGAGCTGTGGTCCTGGATGGCATAAAAAGAAGGAACTGAACTTGAACTGTGCAGGAACTCTCATCATCCTCGGTGTCCCGACTGTGGATGTCATGTGACCAACAGTCCCAAGCTTCTGTAGCCCAGACTTCCTTGCCACGATGGACTGACCGTTCCCTTGAACTGAGAGCTGAAATAAACTTCCCCAAGTGGTTTCTATCAGGGATTTTGTAACAGCAGCAGAACAAGTGACGGATCCCTCCGTGAACACAGGCAAACTTTGAACAGAAATAGCAAAACCAAGTCTCTGCATGCTCCATGGTTGAAGGCGAGGATGTACTTATATCACTAGACCCAAGATAAACGATAAATGGGTGTTTTGGGGGGAACAATTACACAGAAAACTGCAAAGAACTGCTGGAGTGGTTCCCTGAACTTCCTACCGGATCCACTGACCCAACAGAAAGAGAGCACAAAGGAAAGCCACGCCTCAAGCTCCTCTCTTTCCACCTGAAGCCACACCCAAAGGGGTGTGGTCGCCATTTCAGGTCCACAGACCAGATGCCTACCCATGGTTCATTGCATTGCTGCGAGGTGATTAGCAAAAGTTAGGCAAGGTCAATATATTTAACAATAGGATGTTAGTGGTGATCAAATAATCCAGCCTTCAATTCCTTGGAAAGGAAGGATTGATTTTGGAGGCATTCCTCCTGCGCTCCCTGGTGCTTTGTAGCATTAGATGTAGTCTGCTGGTGAGGTATGGAAAATGCTCTGGCCAGCATGAGTCAACCTTAGATTGAAGGTTGTGTAGCTATAACTAGCTTTTGGCTAGGCCAGTGTTTCACAATCTGGATTTTGTTTTCACTATTGGCTTTTTGGTTCTGCTTCTCAGGGGCTTTGCCAGACGTCTTCTAAATACCTGTCTTCCCCTCCGTGAAATGATATTGTCACACATACATGTGTTTGGATTTGGAGACTGTGTGTGTGTCTATGATGTCACGTATCAATTTAAAGACTCTGTATGCACCTATGGTATTGTGTATGGACTTAGACATTACGTGTGCACCTGTGTTATGTATCGATTTAGAGACTACGTAGGTAACCATAGGTTTGGCATGAGCGTGTATTATTAGTCACGGCTCTCTAGAGTCACAGAAGTTATGGAATGAATCTCTCCATGTAAAGAGAATTTATTGGAGCGACTTTCAGGCTGTGGTCCAACAATGGCGGCCTGTGAATGGGAAGCCGAAGAACCCAGTAGTTGCTCAGTCCCACGAGACTGGTGCCTCAGGTGGCCTTCTGTGTGTGCGGAATCCCAAGGATGCAGGTGCCAGTGCCAGTGACGGAGAGGGTGTGCTGGAAAGGTGGGGCAAGCGGGTGAAGAATGAGATTCTCCTCCTTCCTCGTCCTTGTATAGGCTTCCTGCAGAAGATGTTGAAGGCAGGGCTTAAATGAGTCCACCAGACCCAAGATAAGTGATAATTAGGTGTTTATTAGGGAAGCACTCACACAGATAATAGTAAATAACCCGCCCGGCCGCAGCCTTTTGTGTGTGTGTGTGTATACAGTCTTCTGCCTGCATGTCAGCAGAGGGTGTTCTTCCAGAGGTCCTGAGTTCAATTCCCAGCAACCACATGGTGGCTCACAACCACCTTGAATGAGATCTGGTGCCGGCCGCAGCCTTCCTGCGCCAGAAGATGCAGTCTCTGCCCTTCCCATGCTCTCTGTAACCTAAGAGAGAGCACTGGAGCCCCTCCCCCCTCTACCTTATAAGGGGCCACCTCTGAACCTGAGACCACGCACAAAGGGTGTGGCCGCCACCACAAGTTCACTGGCAAAGCGAGATGCCGCAATAGTGCGTCTTCCACCTTAAGATCCGGGATAAAGGCCCGTGTCTTCCTGCTTCACGATCAGGATAGACAGTGTGCCTTCTCACCTCAAAGGTCCCGTCTGGAAGCGGATTCACCCGCTTCACACAAAGCAGAAAATCCCTCACAGGCGGGCCCTCCACTTCTGGATGGGAGTTTGTTCCAGACAGTCAGGTTGACAGCCAAGAATAGCCACCCATCATCAAAAGTAGTGATGACGACGCTTTTCGCTCTCCCCCTCCAGGAACCATTTTCTCGTCCCCTTCAGTGCTGAGAGATGAGGGTTGAGTGCGTGTCTCAGAAAGCGACCTTGTGACCCACAGTGAACACTATCGCTCGAACAGAAGCAGGGTTGCCCTTGGTCCGTGGAGGAAGAAGACCAGTGAATGTGCTGGGTCAATCCTGAGACTCACACTGCAAACCCAGAGCTCTCTGAGACCTGCCCGTGGGTCCAACGCATGCCCTTTTGTTAGACAGGTCAAAGCAAAAAGCTCTTGCCCCCCCCCCGCCCCCTTATAACTCTACGCTAAAATGCTGTCATGGAAACACAGCCAGCGGATGCGGTCAGTCACTCCCTGGCCCTGTGCGGGTTGGGACCATCTGTGCACCATGGACGTGGACTTTAGGCTCCGTCGTGGGAGGAGAGATGCTGCACCCCAGGGTTACAGTCGTGGACCGCAGAGATGCTGCACCCCAGTGTTACAGTCGTGGACCGCAGAGATGCTGCACCCCAGTGTTACAGTCGTGGACCGCAGAGATGCTGCACCCCAGTGTTACAGTCGTGGACCGCAGAGATGCTGCACCCCAGTGTTACAGTCGTGGACCGCAGAGATGCTGCACCCCAGTGTTACAGTCGTGGACCGCAGAGATGCTGCACCCCAGTGTTACAGTCGTGGACCGCAGAGATGCTGCACCCCAGGGTTACAGTCGTGGACCGCAGAGATGCTGCACCCCAGGGTTACAGTCGTGGACCGCAGAGATGCTGCACCCCAGGGTTACAGTCGTGGACCGCAGAGATGCTGCACCCCAGGGTTACAGTCGTGGACCGCAGAGATGCTGCACCCCAGTGTTACAGTCGTGGACCGCAGAGATGCTGCACCCCAGTGTTACAGTCGTGGACCGCAGAGATGCTGCACCCCAGGGTTACAGTCGTGGACCGCAGAGATGCTGCACCCCAGGGTTACAGTCGTGGACCGCAGAGATGCTGCACCCCAGGGTTACAGTCGTGGACCGCAGAGATGCTGCACCCCAGGGTTACAGTCGTGGACCGCAGAGATGCTGCACCCCAGGGTTACAGTCGTGGACCGCTAGCTGTGGTCCCCCGCCACTACCTACGCGGCACACACTGGGACTCTTTCATCCTCTCGCGGCACACACTGGGACTCTTTCATCCTCTCGCGGCACACACTGGGACTCTTTCATCCTCTCGCGGCACACACTGGGACTCTTTCATCCTCTCGCGGCACACACTGGGACTCTTTCATCCGCTCGTTTTACCCGGTCTGACCATGAGGCCCCGGGGGTGTGAGATGATCCGCACAGGAGGAGGGCAGTACCAAGCTCATCTTCCGACACTTTGTACCAGGAGGACTCTTTTGACTCTGCCTTGTCGTGGCTGATCTCTCCTCCACTTAGGGACTGGCGAGGGGCCACGGGAGCACTGAGCGAGATTTTGTCTTGCGAGTGTTGACAGAACTGAACGAATTTACTAGACGGAGCTGGAGCCCTGTCAGGAAGGAGGACGTAATTGGGTGGCGTTAGGGACAGGGCAGCCACAGCCCCCCAGTAATGAACACACGGAGTGTGCGTTCTTCAGGCAGTAAAGGGAGTCGAGATATGATTTCACACCGTGGTGGTTTTGGGCTGTGTTTTCCCCACGCTTTCTTTCTTTTTTTTTTTTTGTTTTTTGTTTTTTGTTTTTTGTTTTTCGATACAGGGTTTCTCTGTATTGTTTTGGAGGCTGTCGGTCCAGCCCGGCCTCGAACTCACAGAGATCCGCCTGCCTCTGCCTCCCGAGTGCTGGGATTAAAGGCGTGTGCCACCACCGCCTGGCTTCCCCACACTTTCTAATATTCTCATAGGTGTTTTTAGGAGGAGGCTCTTTCTGCCTCTAGACATTTACTCAATGTAACTTCCTCCTTTCCAGTGGAATTGTACTATACTGTATTCCCTCAGCTTTACCTGGAGAGAATGTGAATTAGAACACAGAACGTGACCACTAATGCTTTAAAAAAAGTTGTTCGCATAATTTCCTGTTGGGGGTTTGATGTCTAGAATTAACATCCTCTTACAGCTACATTTGCCTATCTGGTTCAACTCATGGGATATGGAGGACAGGAAATTAGTCATGCCAAAACCATTTGGGAATATCTAAAATAAAGAAACCAAAATGAGCAAAATTATGTGTCCCTGGAGTCCAGCCAAGATGAAATATGGAAGCCCCTCTATAAAATATATTCGATGCCTTATTTTATTTTGAAAAGTAAATTAAAACCTTTTTGGTAGTTAAGTTGGGTGCCCAGATTTAGGCTGTCATGGGGATTCATATGCACATAGAGCATTCTCTATACTCTGGTCAATAGAGATCACCCTAATTATATTTCTACATATAACAAAGGCAGCTTCAGGCAGGCTTTTAAAATTACATACATTAGAATTTAAGTCTCTCTGAATTTTAAAAGTTGTCTAATTCTGTTTTATATGATTTATAAGCCAGGATGTCATCAATGGTGAGTTCATTGGACACAGGTCAGGGTGTGCATAAGTCAGTGGCTGGCCCTAGTTTTAGAAATATCTACGACGATAATTAGATGACATCTTGATGGCTGTCTGGTCCCATGAGGCTAGGCTATGCCTCAGGCTGTGAAAAGACCCTGAGACCAGTGAGATAGTGGGGTGTCTGTGAGATAGTGGGGTGTCTGTGAGATAGTGGGGTGTCTGTGAGATAGTGGGGTGTCTGTGAGATAGTGGGGTGTCTTAGTTAGGGTTTCTGTTGCTGTGAAGAGACACCATGACTACAGAAACTCGTATAAAGGAAATATTTAGTTGGGTGGCTCACTTACAGTTTCAGAGGTTCAGTCCATTGTCATCATGGCAGGGAGCGTGATGGCGTGCAGACAGACATGGTGCTGGGGATGAGAGGCCTACATCTTGCTGGCAACAGGAAGTTGGCTGACAGTCAGAGTGAGGGAAGCTTGAGCAAAAGAGACCCCAGAGCCCTCCCCCATAGTGACACACTTCCTCCAATAAGGCCATACCGACTAATAATGTCACTCTCTCTGGGGGGCATTTTCTTTCAAACAACCACATAGGGAAGCCCTATTCTGGATGATATGTCTGTAATAGATATTTAAATGTATTTACATGGATAATTCTTGGTAGAGTAATAACATACTAGAAGAGCAATACCCAATTGCTGGTGAAATGAAAAGTTTTATCACAGTAAATTTAAAGGTTTCTGAACAATTCTCAACAATTTAAAACATGGTTTATTTCACCACAAATAAAATGAAGCAAAATTCATCACCCAATGCCTTAAGTAGCAGTCAGCCTTGACAAAAGGTCTTCATGCAGAGATCTTGTAACTCTGTACCAGATGGGAGCTGGTGTGGTGGCTGTGGTGGACCACATCTTCTCTCTCCACCAGGATCTGATCTCATATTAAACACTGTGTCTTTTCCCTATTGGACCATAAAAGTGAGCATGCCATTATGTCTTTGCTGTAAATTTAATGATTCACTGTTGGTTTCCTGGCAGAAGACTTTGCATTTATTTATCTGCTCTAATCTTAAAATTCCAATTTTTTCTATCTATTCTTCACTTATGTTTAAGCTATCTTTGTGTCTCCGTCATATTTACAGCTCCTATTATTTAAATAGCACTCTGGTAAGTACCTACGCAGATTTCGATAACTACAGCTTCATTGTTGATGAATTGTAAAACATCAAAAAATGAGACAAAAACTGCTAGAGTGCAAATGTTCACACATTTTCCCCTACCAAACAACACAAAGGTCAACTATAGAATTAAAACTGTGGTGGCTGCTTCCAAGGAGGGGTTCCTGATATGCTATCGGCACACAGACCGAATCACACCGGAGAGGACAATTAAACCAGGTTCGAAGGGTGGTGATGACTTCATCCGGCATGTAACTGGAGATAGATGAAGGCAATCAGATCATGGGGGAGGGAACTTCAGAGAAAAGCAGAGAGAACCAGGCACGGCATGATCGCTTGTGGCCCCGTAAGAACGTGGCTCTCTCAACAAACAACAGGATCTATATACACAGAAAACATATATACACAGAAGCAGGCTAACTCACTGGAGAACAAGGGTGACGTCAAGGGAGATGGAGGAGCCTTGGGAAGCAGGCTGGTGGGGGCAAGGGAGAGGCAGAGGTTTGTGAACTTTTTTTGGAGGGGGGGTAGAATCAGAAGGATGTATATTTAGAAACATGTTCTTTTCATTTGCATTGTGACTTTGGTCAACACAGTCAAGAATTCATGAGTTCAGATCTCGAAAGTTAGTGAACAGAACGTTCTAGAAGGAGCCAACCAAGCCTAAAAGATGTTCCTGGCTCTGTTCATCTTCTGTCTTTCCAATGTCCAACACACAAGGTGACACTGGGTGACATGTCTTATCTCTTTTCAGGTCATTCATGAAACTTTATTTTGCCTTCAAGCATGCATTATCCCACACCAGGTCAAGTATTAGGGCAGTTTTCCGACCTCTTCATTTTTGCTTAAAATTATCAGCTTTGCCTGTGGAAGACTTAAAGGCAGTCTTACCCCAAGAGCCTCGTGAATGGCACTGCTGTATATAACCAGACAGAGTTTCGTTGGGTGGAAGTTTAAAGCAAATTATGTTAAACACTTACGTAGACCAAATGGCATACACAAAAACATTAAGAGTCCCATTTGTAAAAATTACACACAGTAGAATGTCTAAACTGTAAACATAATTCTTACAATGGAATACTATACAGGCACAAAAATGGTTGAACCCGTGCTATTAGCAATGTGTTGTTTATGAATGCATCAACCTATGGAATGGGAGCAACATCAAAGAGTGTGTCAGGGACGATTCCACCTGTGCGGCTCTGTGAGAGCTCAGAAGGGCAGTGCTTACAGTTAGGGAGAACTGTAGTGCCAGGAGGGCCCATGGGGGCTTCTGGGAATTAGCTGTCTGCTGACCCGTTTCCTGCTAACCAAACCCAGGTGGGCAGAAGCCGTTGTGAATAGTTAGCCTGTTCTGCGAGTGGGGAGTATTTCCTCGCCCACGCAGAGGTGTGAGGGTTATTTTATTTTATTTACATGAAGTTTGAAAATATGTGTGTAGAACATAAACCCAGGCTTTTGTAGTAGGGTACCCTTCCAGGGACGGGGGAGGAGTCTCAGAATGTGAAAATGCTAGGCTAAAACCAGGAAGGGCCCAGGCAAACCTGAATAGGCCCCCTGTCCCACAGCAGGATTTCAGAGGAGTGTTATTTAAGTAGAACACAAGACCTCCCATTCTCTCAGCCCCCGGTCACAGCCCCGCCCCTTTGGTCATCACTGATCAGTTGTTTCTCAGCAGAGACGTGGGGTGTGTGTGTGTGGTGTGTGTATGTGGTATGTGTGTGTGATGTGGTTCGTGTGTGTATGTGTGTGTGGTGAGGTGTGTATGTGTGTGTGGTGGTGTGTGTGGTGTGTGTGAGTGACATGTATGTGTGGTGTGTGTGCACGTGTGTGTGGTGTGTGTGTGGTGTGGTTCGTGTGTGTATGTGTGTGTGAGGTGTGTATGTGTGTGTAGTGGTGTGTGTGTGTGTTTGGTGTAGTGTGTGTGGTGCATGTGTGCATGTGCGGTGTGTGTGTGTGGTGTGTTTATGTGGTATATGTGTGTAGTGTGGTTCGTGTGTGTATGTGTGTGTGGTGAGGTGTGTATGTGTGTGTGGTGGTGTGTGGGGGGGGTCTGGTGTGTGTGGGGGGAGTGTGGGGGGGTGTGGTGAGGTGTGTGTGTACATGTTCTTGTGTACCTCTCCCTGTGTGTATGGAAATCAGATGTCACTTGATTCTTGGCTGTTACTCTCAGTCCACCGTGGTTCTTTCTGAGACAAGATCTCACTTTTTCCTGGAGCCCAATGGTCCGCCATGCTGGCCAGTGAGCCCAAGGTTCTCCTGTCTTTGCCTCCCCAGCTAAGGGTTCCAAACTCTGGGTCCAACTCAGGTCTCCCTGCAAGCACTTTACTCGCTGAACTGTTTCTTCTGCCCATGGACATCACTTCAAAAACTTCAGTTTCCATAGAACATTGTTTTCAACTAAACATGCATTTAAACTTGAAACGATACTGCTGTCACAGAAGACACAATTTACATAATGTTTCTGAGAATGCCAGAGAATCAGAGAAACAAACGAAAAGCAAGCAAATTGGAACAGCAATGAAGCCTGGCAGTTGTCAAAGCCTCCAGGTTCTCCCTCTGCCTAAGTCAAACTCGTGATTGACAGTTAAGGAGTACTGTGGTGGTCACTATGTTCCATAGCATGAAGGAGGCCAGGAGAGTGACACACAGGACACATTTTATCTATGAATGATTAAAATATTTTACAGCCATATATCATTGTGCACTTCAAGGATCAAGTGTTGGTTAAGGTCAGTTCCAAGGGAAAGTGAGAGAGGTTGGGAGACAGATCTGCTTCTTCCTGGCCTCTGGGCTCGACTTTAGGGTGTCCCTGCTTCTACCTGTGTGTGCAATGTCAGTTCCTATCTCCAAAAGCCTGGTTTATCTGTGATTCCAGGGCAAGCTGGGCCATAACAAACCGAGAGGCTTTAATGAAGAGGTATAGAATGTCTCAGATGTATCTGAGGTAACTTCAGTGTTGTGGTTTGCATATGGTTATGGTAAATAACCAGCCCACTGATTGTTGTGGTCTGGCCTTTGCTGGGGAGCCCTGGCCCACTGGAGACCCATTTAGCCTACACCTCCCTCCCCCCACAGAGACAGCAATCTCAGCAAGCTAGGCAGGAATGGAGAGCCCCCTCTTGTCTCACAGGAGAGCCAGAGTTGGCTCTCTCTAGAAGGCTGGGAGTTTGACAAGCTGAGGGTAGGGTGGGAGGGGGGATAAGCTGTATTAGGGGGTGTCACTCAGTGTTTCCTCTTTCCCCGTGACCGACTCTTGGAGATACTCACTGTAAATGAGCCCAACTGGGAGAGCCGGATGATTGCTGAATTTTGAGCAGCGATGGCTTCCGCCTCATGTCCCAGGGGGACCCACAGCCTTCACATCCTGACAGGAAGTGCTCAACCAGAACTAGAACAGTCCTGGAGCGGTGGTCGTGTTTCAAATTAGAGCGGGGCCTCCAGCCTCGGAGCTCAGTGGGCCTCCTTCGTGTTCCTCCTTTTTGACTGGCTGATATCTTGTCTTCATTAGGATATCAGCATCCGCAGAGAGAGACCCCCTTGGCACACGTTATGAGTGGAGCCAATGCTGAAGTCCTAGACCTCAGCTCAATTTCAGCAGTGTGGAAGAGTCCCTAGCTCTGTGCGTGCATGTGTGCGTGCGTGCGTTCGTGTGTGTGTGTGTGAGTATGTGTCTATGTGTGTGAGTGTGTGTGCATGTGTGTGCGTGAGTGTGTGCATGCATGCGTGTGTATGATATATAGGTTTGTGTGTGATGTATGGGTTTGTGGGTGTTATATATGGTTGTGTGTGTATAGGTGTGTGTTATGTATGTATGTATGTGTGCATATATTTGTGTGTATGTGCTTATGTGTGTTATGTATGTATATGTGTGTACATATGTAGGTGGTATGTATGGTTATGTCTGTGCATGTGGTATGTATCTTGTATATATGTGTGTGTGTGTTTGTGTGTGTGTATGTGTTGTGGTATGTGTGTGGGGTGGGTGGGTGTATAGAAGGAAGACAGGGGTTTCTTGGTCACTAGACCTTTCTTTTTTTTCTGAGATAGACTCTTTCACTCAGACCTGAAATTCACTGCTTCAGTTAGGCTAGCTGACTTGCCTCAGAGAAACCCACCTGTCTCTCCCTCTCAAGTGTTGGGATCACAAGCACACACCACAGCATCCAGCCTTTTCACACGGATGCCGGGGACCCAACACAGGTCCTCACATCTGAGTGGTGAGCACTTTGCTGGCAGAGACATCTCCCTGGAACTGTTTTGCTGCTCTCTGATCTCATATCACTTTGTGACTTTAGGATAAGGGCTCATTGTCCAATGCTCACATCCTCTCTTGCTAATTATTTCCCTCCTGTGTCTGTCCATGGACAAGAGAAGGACAGTCTCTGAGATCAAGACCCTCCATCATTCCCCCTTTGCTGTCAATGACATTGGACACTCTGGCAGCTCTAACACAAGCACCATAGAATGGACAACTTGAAGCAACGAGGGTTGATTCTCTCATTGCTTGCTGCTGGGGAGCCTGGGATTGAGGAACCAGTGTGTTTGGTGTCTGGTGTGGACCCACCTCTTACAAGATGGTGTCCTCACTGTGACTTTGTGTGGCAGATGTGGACAAGCTCACTAGAAACTTCTTGGAAAGGCATAAATCCCATTAACAATACTCCCAGTTACTTCACAAAGTGTCCTCCCAAAAGTATCATTGTGAGGACAAAGATTTCAAAATTTGAATTTTTGAGAGTCCTGTCAAGGTGCTGCCAAGATGATTCAGTTGACAAAACACTTACAGAACCTGTATAAAAATTCCAGGCCTGGTGGTGTGTGGCTTGACTAGCCAGCCTAGCCTAATTGGTAAGGTCACATTGGTATGTAAGTCTGGAGGGGACCCAACTCAGTTGATAATGCTCTAAAATCAAGCATTCTCGTGTTATTAGCAATAGGGAAACCTAAGAATTATCTTCTAGAAGAAAATTCCCTTCAGTTGGATATGATGGTTAATTTTGTGCATCAGTCTGATGTGTTCAGGGATGTCAATAGTCAGGTAAAACATTATGTGTGGGTGTGTCTGCAAAGGCATTTTGGGAACGGATGAGTGTCAGGGGTAGAGATGGCCCTCACCTGAAAATCTGAAGAAAACAAATGTTGGAGGAAGGGGGCCTTTCTTTTTTCTTTATGAGATGGGACATTTATCCCTCCTGCCCTTTGACTTTGGGATATCGATTCCTTTCTGTCCGTGAACTCTGGGACATCCACCCCTCCTGCCCATGGACTATGGGTCATTCATTTCTTTCTGCCCTTGGACACTAGGACATCCATTCCTTCCTGCCCTTGGACTCAGGCATCTATATTTTCTTACCCTTGACCTTGGGGATACCCATTCTTCCTGTCCGTGGATTCTGGAATCCATCCCTTTCTGCCCATGCACCCCGGGACACCTGCCCCTTCTGCCTTTATATCATAAAGCCTCTGGGTATCGATCCCGTGGATGAATCAAGTTAAGCAGTGGTTTTCCTGGCTTTCCCCTTGCTTCTGATAAGCTGCGGAGCTGGTCAGCCTCTGCAGCTGCGTGAGCCAGTCTTGCTGAATTGTCTTGTAAAAGTGCACGTCTCCTCCCGGTCTTCTCTGGAGAGCCCTAATGCAATGGGAAAGGTGGGTCTCCTCTGGGAAATTTCTCTGTGTTCTTAGACTAGTGTTTAGGAATGCATAGCTGTTAGCCAAATAAATTAAAGTTTAAGTTGAGTGTGTGTGCACACATAGACAAAGACACACAGGCAAATGTGCACGTGTGGACACACTCATACATACGGACACAAATGTGCATGCATGCGCGTCTGCGCGCACACACACAGGCATATGCACAAACATGTACACATGCATACACAAAGTCCTGTGGTTACTGTAATTTATGAAGTGCCATTTTGCGTGGTATCAGACTGTTAAGTATTGCTACGTTTTAATGAGAAAGACAGAAGATATCCTACCATTTGCCACGTGACTCCTTCCTGGCAGCCCCCAATGGACGTTCTTTGCGGCGTGATGGGGACACATCAGGCCAGCCACAAGCAGCCCATAAAAACTGGCCCTTTAAACCCGATACCCTACACACTTAGTGCACAATACTACACACCCATAAAGGAGGCGACACAAGCAATTTGTGTCACTATATCAAGCGCACCGTTCAAGTGGTAGGCAGACAGCAGGTTAAACAGCACATTTTAAGTCGGCCAGTTTTATAAATCCATACAGAGTTGCATACGCAGATACTAAATGGGCAGCCCACAAGCAGATAATGTGAACCTTCCTCCCAGTGCTTCTGCGGAGCTGCTTACGAAGACGTGAAGCTTTGGTGAGCCCAAGTTTTGCTTTAAGTGTCTTTTTCAGTAGAAACGGATCACACAGAGATGTAGCTCGCCCACTCCTTCTCAAAAGGGTCAATGTCCGCCCCCCAGGGGACAAAGGCAGAGTTCAGAACAAAGTAAATATGTGATATGTGGTCCTTATGAGGGTCTTGCTCACAACCAGCCTCTCTGGCGTTGATCTGGGGCTCCTAGCGGGGCGGTCAGGGAGAAAGGGGTCCGCAAGGCTCTGTGGAGGGAGAGGCACAGAGATGCTGTTTTGTCCTGGTCTAACACTGTCAGCAACACAGAACACAGAAATGTAGCTAGCTCCTCTTCTCAGCGGATTAAAGCAATAGAAAGACCAATAATCTTTGCATAAGCAGTCCCAGCCAGACTACATGGAGGACTGTCGGCTTCCGGCTTCTGGCTTCCGGCTTCCTGCTTCTCCACCTGGAACACCGAGCTGTGAGCCATCAACTGGCCTTGTGCCTCCTGCTGCTGCTGTGGATCTTGAGTGTGCCCCTGTCATGCGCCCCCCCATCCCACTGGCGGCCCTTTGCAAGAAGGCCCTCCTGCAATCAGAAGCTACAGCTCTCCCCAGGCTTCATGTCCCGGGTTCTCCCTGATGGTGTCACTAACACCAAGCACCAAGCTGTCCTGGCGCCAATGCTGCCAAGCTGTCTGTTTCCAAAGCGCCAGCCAAGTGGTAAGTGCAGGGTCTTGTTTTGCAAACACCCAGTCTTGATTGAGTATGTAGCTGTTCAGATGGGAAGCCGAGACAGCTAAACAACTTGTTTACGAATTAGGCTTCCACGTGCGCCACAAATCCTCTCTCTCAGACCACAAAGGCAGTTTCTCCTGGCAATCAATTAGCCTGGGTGGGGAGACAGGGGATCCTCGGGTGTGTACTTTCCCAGGTGCTGTGGTCCAGGAGGAGAGCTGAGCAGCAAGGAGCCCTGGGGATGCCCTTAGAGGGTTAGGTTGGGGGTCCCTGGGAATGGCTGTGATGAGGGAGCACGCCCCCTATTGGATGAATGAGGACTTAGGCCGGAGTAGATTCCTTCCACCTGGGATTCTCAAAAACCCTGACTCTCCCGGCCTCCCTCCCTCCCCTTTTAATGACACAGGGTCTTGCGTTGTCCACTCTGGCCTCAAACTTTGGATCCAAGGATGACTTTAAGCTTCAGACCCTCTTGTCTCGGCCTCCCAAGTGCTGGGGTTACAATTGTGTTCCTTCACACAGGGTTTTATTTTCATCAAAGTGAGGGCTTCTGCTCAAGGCAAACACTGTACCAACTCAGCTACATCTCTAGCCCAAACCAGGCACTGTGGACCTCCTAGGCTGGCCCGGTATTCCTACTGGGCTAGCTCTCCGTGTTATAGGAATTCAGTGGGATCTACCCCACCTAGATGCCACTGGCACCCAGCTTCCCTCCAGGTGTGACAACAGACAGAGTCTCCAATCATCCTTCCCTGCTCGGGACCCATCTCTTGAGCGACGACGGCCCTTCATGTTGAGATGCAGTATTTCAAGGGTTAATCATTTTTCCCCCCTAAATGCCGATTGCCACTGGCTATCCTTGCTTCCCTGCTCCCAGCTGAGTGCCAGATATAAGATTACATATCGGCTAATACTCGCATCTCTAACCTGAAGCTTTGAAAGGACACAGCTTTTATCTTCTCAGTTACACGGAGGGGTGGGAGGGAGGGTTTGGATCTCCATTGCTTGGCCTGCAAATTTTAATCCTTTAATCTCTTTCCCACTGATGCTAGGGAGCTGGGCTGACAATCCACCTGCTCCCCCAGTCTTGACCTCGGGTCCCTGCCTGCTGGAATCCTGGGAAAACTTGCTTCCTTCCTGCCAGCCACAACAACCAGGTTTTGGGCAGAGATAACTTCAGGCCTCCTCGATTGTAGCCCAGAGGAAGCAGGAGATTGGCCATCTGCTCCTCTGTCTACCTTCCGGATCCACAGCAGGTGGGAGCTCGCTCTCATTTAGAATTTTCACTCTATCCTCAACAGGACTGAAGGACTTCTGGCGAGAACCTTGCCAGTTTCCTTTATGTTTTAGCCTCATTGAGATAAAAGGAAATAGAGTAAAATCCAACAGTATTTCCGAAAATTCATCGATAAAGCCAAGTTAGATAATCTAGTATCTTACATGCATTCACTTAAAAGGGGCCTGCCTTTAGTTTTCTTCAGAGACAAAGAGAAGGAGGTCCTGATCCCTGTGTTGTGACATCTAAGATTTGTGTGGGGCCCACTCTCCAAGGCAGTTCTTATCTGGGGGACATGACTGTGGGAATCCACCCAACTCACTGTTAACACGAGGCTGTAAATTATCTGCCTCCAGTTTTCTCTGAGTGTTTCTCTGGGAAACAGTCTCCTGCGTTGTGCTCTTCAGAGGGTGTGTAGAAACACGTGTGGGTCCAGTGTGTTGACAGGAGAGGGCATTTCACCCGCAGCTCCCAGCAAGCATCCCGCGCCCCTTGAGGACATGTCTCTGCATGAAACCCACCACACAAAACTCCCTTCTCCATAGAGGCGATTGTTGGGAGCCACCTGTGAGTGACACAGCCTGGAACAGGGGTTCAGGGTCCCTCAGATCTTCCATTGTAGAGGGGTTCACAAGAGGTCTTACTAGTCACAGAACAAAGGAAGTCGTAAATGAACGCATTTGCCAAATTCTCCGGTGGGACCTTGAGCAGCAAGGTCTCCTATAGGTCTTGGTTTGCTGGTGCTTGTGTGAGTTTCTGAGCTTTGGGGTTAGTAGAAGATAGAGGCCTGCTAAGTTGATGCAGTCTCTGTGGATTGTTTTTGTTTTGCTTTTCTTTTTTGAGACGGGGATTCTGTGCAACAGTTCTGGCTGTCCTGGAGCTCACTCTGTAAACCAGGCCGGCCTCGAATTAATAGAGATCTGCCTCTCTCTGCTTCCCCAGTGCTGAGATTAAAGGCATATGCCGCCACCACCTGGCTTTTCTTTTTTTGGTAAGTTAATAAATTCTAAAGAGTTTATGTGTTAGTCAAAATATTATGTCAGATATCAAGATGGGAATAAGTGACTATTACGTACCTTAAGGATAACTCACGGTAATTTTGACTTTCTGTTGGTCCGTTGACATTCCCACTCTGCGGGATCATGGCGATGCAGAATCGCCACATGGGAGTGGAGTTTTCAGGGAAATTCTACTGGCACATCCCCAAGCAAAAGGCCTCTGCACAGGTTAGAAGACAAAATCAAAGCAGGCCTGGGTGGGCTGAGAAACTACAGTCACTAACAAAAGCAGTTCTGCACAGAGGGAACCCCAGCTGGTGAGACCCCTCTGTTGTCCCGGGTGAGGGCCATGCCCACCTCCATCACAGGCAGAGAAGAGATCTGTGTCGCCCCCCCCACTGCCCCGCCCCGCCTAAAGCAGCTGGCTAATGGCAGGGCCAAGGCCAGGACAGAACTCACCAAGGCCCTGACCCTCCGGCTCTCCCCATTGAGTTTTACCGCCTGTGTCTTGTCATGAGATGGCGTGCCCAGAGCCAAGAGCCTCTGCGCAGGCTGCTCCCTGGGTCTTAGCGTCGCCCTCAGACATTGCCTCACTTTATTCAGATCCCTGTCCAAGTGTCCCTTCTTCACACATGACCCCGTCCACAACGACACCCCTTTCTACTTCCCTCGCTTACAGACACAGCTCCCACCTCTACCTGGCGTAAAAGTCACTGGCTACCTGGGCACCCAAAGCGTCCGCCCACGCTAGATCGTGGCTGGATGTCAGAAGAGAACACCTGTCCGTGCTCGCTGAGCTGCGTCAACCAGGAGGGTGGCAAATGTCTGTAATCCTAGCACTTGGGAGGTGGGGGGGGGCAGGCAAACCGCAAGTTCAAAGCCATCCTTTCCTGCATAGTGAGGTTAAGGCCAGGCGGAGCTACTCAAGGCACTGTCTCAAACACACACACACACACACACACACACACACACAAGTGCCTTCTCTCTGACGTGGTGTGTAGAATAATAGGTACAGAATGTAAGTCTAGAGCTGGTAAGTAGATAGATGATGCAGTGTAGAAAGATAGGTAGACAGACAGACAGACAGACAGGCGGATAGGTAGACTGATGTATATAGGGAAGGCCGGCAGGTAGATTAATATGAGTCAAAAGAAGGAGGGAGCACAAGATATGGAGATGGACCAGCGTGTTAAAGGCACCTGTGGCCGAGTCTGATGTCCTGAGTATGTGAGTTTGATCCCCAGGCCCCCCAAGCTGGAAAGAGAGAACTAACATCTGTAAGCTATCCTCTGACCTCCCCAGTCACACTGTGAAAAGCACACTCTTCTACACACACACACACACACACACACTCACTCACACACACACACACACACACACACACACACACACCTGTATTTTTGACTCAAGTTTTCATCCACTTGAAGTTTTAGGGGACACTGCCTACCCAGGGCCCTGCACCAAGGCATACACCTTGCCAGGAACTCCGCCGGTGAGGTCCATTCTTGGGAAGTCACAGGAAACCAGTTTTTTTCATACAGGAGCTCATTACTGAGGTTTTTATATTTAGGAAGCTGCCCAGTGATGGCAATGCGATGGCAAAACTCTGGTGTAACCAGGGGATGGGCTATTCTACAGTCGCTATAATGCAGTTTGTAAGAAGTGCTGGTCTCACATTCAAAAACACTTGTCACAAAGCCAAATAGAAAGGCGGGAGACAGGACTGTATGTGTTTCAGGATTCAAATATCACTAAAAATTGTGCAGAAAGATACAATGGGAAGTTAAATAATTTTAATTATGTATGACTACCACTTTCCAAGTTTATTTCTTCCTGCTGGCCATTTCTACAATTTCTGTACATTCAGAAGAACTTCTTGGGTTAGGGACATATCTCAGTGGCATACTTGAATAGCTGGGTTCTCTGGGTCAACCAGATATGGTGGTATAAGCCTGTAATCACAGCGCTTGGGGTGGAGGCCACAGAATCAGAGGCTCAGGGTGATCCTCAGCTGTACAGTGAGTTCAAGGCCAGCCTGGGCTGCATGAGACTTTGTATTCATGGCACATGAAGACCGCTGTAGCTTTACCACACCCTGGCTCCTCCAGCCGTCTAGTGGGCTGCTGTAGTTCAATGGCAAAGAAGCTTCGCAGGTCCACCTTTGTAACTGCCCCTGTCCTGGGAGCTGGCCCCTCCCGTGTTCACGGGTGACTTGGGTGATCACAGACACTGCTTTCCTTGTCGTAAAACAAGAAAGAGATTATTGGCCAAAACTGAGCAGGGTGCGTCACTTAGAGTCACACAAACTACACGTACCCTACAAACAGCTGTAAAAACAACAACCTCAGTCTTCCAGTGATGGGAGAAGCTGTCACGAAAACAGCACAGAGGAGAGAAAAAACCCTCAAAAGCTGTGTAAATGATGCAAGCTTATTGTGAAAAGGGTTTCTGAAAAGTCTGGCATGTCACGGACAGTTTTATTGCTGCTGCTTTCAGACAATGGGGAGTGTAGACTTTCAAACTTGCCTGCCTGCCTGCCTCAAGTTTTCTGTCCTGAGTCAAGAGGAGGAACCAAGTATTTGCAAAATGCATGTGTTGGGTAAGAGCAAAAGCAGCAAGGGGTATAAACTTTCCCTGAGTAACATAGTCTCTTAAACTGGTGGTTCTCAATCTGAGGGTCGGGACCCCTCTTAGGGTTGAACGACCCTTTTACAGGGGTTGCTTAAGACCATGGGAAAACACAGATATTTATATTGTGATTCATAACTTAATAAATTAGAGGTATTAAGTAGCAATGAAATTAGTTTTTTGGCTGGGGTCACCACGGCCTGAGGAACTGTATCAGAGGGACGCAGAAGCATGAGGAAGGTTGGGAACCACTGCCCTAAAGGAAGACTGATCTGCGTGCCGCACACTGAGGCCAGGACAGTCCACACCCTTTGTCTGTAACTACTGGATTCTCAGAGGGCTGTGTCTACCCTTCATGTGTCTCAGGGAAGGTGGGGAGAGGCATGTTGGGCCACACTTCTTGTGGGTCACGGACTCTCTCCTGCTCTGTACCCCAAAACAAGCTCCAGTGGCCGCTGCTTTGTCTGCAGTGCTCAAGGCAGTGGGGTCTCCTGGGCATTGTCGCCACTCCTCTGACTGGAACTCCCTTGGGTTCCATAAGCCCAGTGCAGAATGCCTGGTAGATGAGTCACATGGCGTCTTTGACATTCGGAGCATGTACCTCCATTCCCTGGAGTCTTGCTTCCTGGGTTCCCTGGGGCTGAGCTTCCTGCAAGGACTCAAGGTTGACCTGGCAGCCGCATGGTGGCTGAATCCCTGTGCCCTGGAGCAGGGCTGCCAGATGCCATGTTGTACGGAGCCCAGCATCTTTTGATCTCCTGGAGGGTCTGAACTCATGGGTACTTGGATGCATATTATAAAAAAAGTCTTGGGTCGCGGGAGGTTAGGAATGTGACTTCCTTTGACTTGTTTTTTTTTTTTAACCTGGTGAATTAATTCCTTTCTTTCGTTGCATTTTCTTGTGTACTGAGGTGACATTGGGAGCAGCGAGCTTGCTTGCACATGACCGGTGATGGCAGTATGTGACTGTGTGGTCTGTGCTAGCAATGTGTCTGACATGAAACGATTAGGAAATAAGGACAGACAGGTTTTGATCCAGGGGGCACCACTCACTTCAACTCTGCCGAGTGTGTTCTGTGGCCACAGGTATGCAATGCCATGGCCCCAGCTTAACACAGTGGCCTTTCCATTTCCTTGTGGCTCCCATATTTACAGTCTGTGTTCCAGGTGGAGAGGTGCTCAACAGAGCAGTCCAGTTGGCGTCAATGAATTTCTAAGGGCTCTACCTGTGTCATTAGAGCAGGTTAGCCCCTCCTCCAAATTTCACAGTGCACACCGTGGAGTCTGGCTTCATTCACACACTCAGAATTCACACTCATACACTCAGAGTCCACACTCATACACTCAGAGTTCA